CACCTTGTGAGCACCATGAGACAGGAGGGCTTGTCTCTGTTTTTTTGGGGGTGAGGGGGGCGGCAGTACTAGGGTTTGAACTCAGGGTTTCACACTTCCTAGGCAGGCCTTCTGCCAACCCTGCATTGCTTCTTAAAACTACGTGTAAATCTATGATGCCAGTTCAAAAAATGTTTTAGTAGAAATGGCACAGAAGTGCAGGTTTATTGGGAGTGTACATGTTGAAAAGCCTACAGGCGTGAAGAACCTCAGCTGTCTTGGTTTCTTGCCTCTTGCTCGGAACTTTTTCCTTCCTGTCTCTGGCCTAGTTCCTCTCGTGACCAATCCATCTGTGACCTTGATGGATGCTTTAATCCATCGAAGCCCCCAGGTTCTATCAGTACGTGGGGAAAACACCCTACCTTACCTTGGGCTGTTGTGATTACTACTGAGGCCCTGGCAAGTAGTGGGGTTCAGACAGTGGCAGTGGGTTTTTGGAGCTGGTGATGAGCCTAGGTGCGCATGTATTAGGCAAGTGCTCTACCACTGAGTTACCTCACAGCCCTCAGTAGGAGTTTGTTTTGAAACGGCCTGTGTAGCCCAGGCTGGCCTCCAACTGGTGATCCTTGTTCTGCTTCCTAGGTCCTGGAATTGTAGGCGTGCACCACTGTACCCAGACATATACAAGTTTTTAGTTCGTGAAATACTCAAATTCTTCTGGCTGCTTTTTTGAATGTTTTCTCTGCTGCCTGTGCCCCAATACAGATGTGAGCTGTCCTCCAGACTCTGTTCTAATCTGGTGCACTTGCCCCTGGTGTCTGTGCAAAATTTCATGTTTTAGTTTTTATAAGCTATTTTTCTGTCATTCTTTAATTGCTTGTGAATCTAAGGCGCAATCCGTGTGGATGGATGCTGCTGCATTTTTTTAATGCTTTTTTTCCTTTCTTCTTTTTATCTTTTTTTCTGGTGGGACTGGGGTTTGAGTTTGAGACCTTATGCTTGCAAGGCAGGTGCTCTACCACTTGAACCATTCCACCAGCCCCTGCTTCTTACTTCTTAGGTGGGAGGACTGTATGTGTTACCTTCTTAAAATAAGGTTTTAATTTTAAAGTACTTTGAGACTTACAGAAAGTTCTAGTTCTTTTCAGCTTACAGAAAAGTCGCAACTTTGATAAAGAGAGTTCTTGTGTTACACTCCCCCACACACACTCTCTCCACATTGTTAACAAGTAACATTAATAGGGATCTTGTCACAACTAAAGGATTTACCCTGGTACTTTATTGCTTACCAAACCCAAGATTTGTTTTGGTCCAATCCTCAGTGAAGGGCAGGGAGGACTTCTTTTGAGATTTTTATCAGTTTTTCCATTAACGTCTTTCTGATCCTGGGCCACTTTGCATAATCTACACTGATAAGGTTCTCTGGTCCTAAAGACAAGAATTTTGTAGGATGCTTTAAAAAAAAAAAAATGCTGAGATGTGCAACCCCTGGAGATTCTATGCTGTCACTCTGGGAAAGAAGCCCCACCCCCACCCAGGCAGACTTGCTGCAGAGCCATGAGACATGGCTGGGAACCACAGGCTGGGGCCAGAAGGTGATTGAGGATTTCTGAGCCAATATGGACATTTCGCAGTCTTTCTTAAATATATTTAGGGTTGCCAGTCAAGTAGTACCATACTAAAGTTGATATGCGGAATTGTACCAGTTTTCTCATTTGTTTTGGTCATCTCTGTGTTAAGTAATATTAGCCCATTTTATTGTAGGCCAGGAATGTCTCAAATAGTAGAGCTTCTGTTAATTCCTTCAGTCTTCTGATGGCAGACTTTACTGTGACTGCTGAAGTGGTGGTGTAGGTCTAGTCACCACCAGCCACTGTTTTCATGCAGGAACCACAGTGCCAGAGCCCCACAGCCGGTCTCTTCATCTTGATTGTGCTACAGAAGGAGCAGGTGTACTTGGGATGCTGGTTGATTTCAGTTTTCTTCACCATTTTCTGAAGGGAGGCCTCATAGCAGGTCCCATACTTACCCGATGATCCTGGCCTTCTTGCTGCATTTGGCCATGTTGCTGTGATGTAGGCCCGAGCCAGAGACCTTAATATTCCCTGTAAGGGGAGACCTTATTCTCCATGTAAGGGGAGAGAGAAAAGAGGAGGAGGGACCAGGGGAAACAAACCCAGAGGGGTTTTGACTAGGAATTGAAGGTGAGCTGGTAGGATTGGGGATGAAAGTGTGCTAAAGGACAATTTGACCAGGCAAGGACTTAGAGCTGCCCACGGGGGCCTGTGTATTCTGCTGTGACAGTAGGTGGTCATCAGTGGGTTGTTATCACTAGTTGGAAGAATCTGGGGTGCTGAGGGGAGATGATCTTTGCAAGGCACCACCTGGTGGGCATATATGGAGTCATGGTTAGAAGGCTGTTCCCTGAGGTTTAGTTGAGGTGTTTGGTTTGTCTTTCCCCTGCCTTGGCCTCTTTGGGGGGAGATTTGGTAAGTCCTTGTGAAGTGACAGAAAATGCCAAAGCCGAACATGGTGTGGCTGCTCACACCTGTAATCCCAACACTTGGGAGGTAGAGGCAGAACCATGGTGAGTTTCAGGCTGGCTGGGGCTACACAGTGCATTTAAGGATATTCTAGGCTAGATATCTCATTTATGGTTAGGCTTGGTTGCAGCGTGAGAACTCGTATCAAAACCAAGCAAAACAAAGCAAATGTCATAGCCAACAAGCTGGACTTCCGCTTTTTTTGGTCTTTCTTATCCAAGGGTAAGATTCAGATGCCAAATTAGTGCTATCTTAATTTCCATAGCAATTGGCAAGTGTTCTTTGTTAGGATAGTAGTTCTATTATGACATCACAAATGGAAGTCAGTAAGAAAGCTCAGTATAAGCATAGGCTTTCTCAGTAAAAGAGGAAGTAACTTAAACTTAGTTTTGTGCCTAAGTAAACAGAAAACTATGCTTGTGTTGTATTTCTGAATGTAATGTATATTTTGGAATGGTAATTGCTTATCTTCTGTAGGTTTAGCATCTCAGCTACTGTGTATATGGTTCCCAGCACCTAGCATACGTGCTCGCCCCTGCCACACATGTCCCCACTCTCACTTGGGGTGGTTGTGTGGCAAAATTAGTGCTGCAGTTCATATTTGGTGTCTCATAAAATTCCAACTAGTGGAGAAGCGAGATCATTTTTATGTAGTGATAAGGCAGTTTTGCATGTGTGTCTTTGACAGTAATGTGGGGGCAGTCCTAACACATAGGCTCTTCCTACAAGCCTAGTACAAATGTTTGGTGGCTGTCAGGTGCTTTCATTATTTCTGTTGCAGGAGTCATCTGTGTTTTAATTGAATGTTGAATTATGTAGCAGAACTGACTCATGTACCCTCAGGATATGGCCTTGAGTTGCCCTGGGGATTGGTTGGGGGCTTCATGAGACCTTTGCTGTGACTTGGCCCTGTTTTTCTAGCACATGATGGACCAACCAGTAACCTTTTGCCTTTCACAGGCACTGGCCTTGACGCTGTCTGTGCCTGTGAGGAGTAAGAAAGGGCAAATGGGTCACAGATGGGCTATTGGACCTGATGTGGTGGTATACATCTGTAATCCCAGCTTGCTGGGAACCAGTAGGAGGAGGATCACAGTCTGAAGCTGCATTGGACAAAAATAAGAGACCATATCTGAAAATTAAAAGAAAGAAAGGACCAGGGCATGCCTCAAGTGGTAGAGTACGTGTGGCCCTGAGTTCATCAGTGATAACGGTATTATAAAATACTTAGGCTTTCTTTGGAAAGCTGGGCTGGGGCTTTTCCATTTTTCTTACCTGAAAATACATAAGGTGTTGTGAGTGGAGATCCAGAGATGTCTTGAGTTGATCTTGATATTTGTGTGTGTCGGGGTGGTGGTGGTAATGGGGATTGAACTACTAGAACCTACTGCTTGCTGTACCTGGAACTCCACCCCAGCCCATGACCTTGACGTACGCAACTTTTGGTGGAAAAGCACTGCCACCCTGACTCACTTGTTTCTAAGTCTGGTTTTACTGACCTTGTGAAGCCGGATCCTTGTGCTACACATGTACAGAGCACTTGTGAAATTCTCTAATTTGCCATAATGTAGATTGCTTGCTTTGCACAGGATGTTACTAAGTTTTGTGTAACATGGTTTGTCATTTTTGCATAATGTTGGCATGACACGTTTGAACTGAGAAAAGAAAAGTACCACGTGTACTTCAAGAGAGTTCCTTTAATCAGGTGCCAGTGACTCATGCCTGTAATCCTAGCTACTTGGGAGGCTGAGATTGGGAGAATCGAGGTTTAAGGCCAGCCCAGGCAGTTTGTGAGTCCCATCTCGAAATAACCAGAGCAAAATGTAGTGGCAGTCTGCCTGCGCGTCTGCTTTGCAAGTGTGAAGCCCTGAGTTCAAATCTCAGCCCCATCAAAAAAAAATTCCTTTAAGATCAATGGCATCTCCACCCAGAGTGTGTGGAGAAGCTAGTTTTTGCTTGTACAGAACAGGCTCCCATCAGTCGGTCCTTTTGCACCCTTGAATTTTGTATAGGGAAGTAAGTTATGGGTGTTACAATTAACACTGTACGTGATTGACTGTTGCTTGTTGTCTTATGTTGCGATTTCATGCAGAGTTACTGGAGAGGTTTTGTGCTGCAAGTCCAGAGTTGGGATTCTGAGTGCCTGAGGGGAAGCAGGACGCTGTCCGCGGTGCTGAATCACATTGTTTGCTGGTCTGAGGGTCAGAAAGCATCTTTAAACTGTGAAGGCCAGGCAGACAGCTACCTAGCTGTTTAGAACAGCACGTCTCCTACTTGTATGGACAGTTAATTCATTCTTTTTTGGTTCACTTAACATTTTGAAAGCAACACAAGTTCCTATCTAGTAAATGTACTGAGAAATGCCTTTTGGTTGGCACTATTAGATTTTATTAGTGGCTACAAGTTGTCAAAAGTATACTTTTGTGTATTTGAGCCAAGCCATGAAAGTAACTCCATGGGATTTCTTTGTTTTCCTTAAAGCTGGAGATACAGATGACCCACCAAGAATTACTCAGAACCCTGTCATCAACGGGAATGTGGCCATGAGTGACGGGCACAGCAATGCGGAAGAGGACATGGAGGACGGTAAGTTGCGCGTCTTGCTTCCTTGCAGCAGCAGAGCTCGGGCAGGAGCGCAGACTCCATCCACATTTTCTCCTTGAGTACTTGTAAGTTTCTTTGGAGTAGCTAGTTTTCAGAAGGTTGTATCTAAGGGGAATTTAGTGTCCTGGTTTTGTTTTGAACTTGAGGATCACCTTCAAAATTACATGGTAAGTTAGTTCTCCCCAGCCTAGGGAAGAAGGTTCAACTCCAAGGTTTGAGATGAGCGGGCGTCCCACGCCTACAGCGCTCCGGTCACTGTTAGCATTGAGGCCAACAAGTAGACTTCTTCTCCTTTCCCTTTTGTTTGCAGCAAGATCCTTCCAGACATTGGGATTTGGCTTTCCATTGCATCCTCAGTATAGTGTCTAGCAGTCGTTTGTAGCTGAGCACCTCTCCCTCCCTGCCCATAGTAGGTGTGAAGTCAGTCAAGCTTTGGCGCCCCTTCCCTTCTCTGTAGCTTCCACGTGAAAAGGCATATGCATATGTGCGTGCATGGACATTTTGTGTCTAGGGAGTCATTTTTTCTATTGACTTTCTTCTTTATAATTTATCATATTCAGTGACCCAAACATTTGCAAGGTCGAAATCCCAAGAAGGGAGCAGGCAGTAATTGCTTTATGCAGCCCCTGGAATCTTGCAGTGTAATATGAAACCATGTTCTGTACAAGCATGTCCATCAATCCTCATAAGGGTTGTGTCCTTCCCAGGGGAGTAACGGGGCAGTTGAAAGAAACCATCAGGCACGGGCTGCACCACCAGAAGGACTGCTGTCAGACCTCCTGCCAAAAGTTCAGCCTCCCTGCGAAACTGCAGCCGCAGTTGAGAGTTCTCTCACAGTGCGGTTTCCCCCTGGCAGCTGGCTGAGGCAATATCTGAGGAAGGTAAAGAGGCGTGGTCTAAACCCCGCTGCTTTGTTCCCCGTGGAGTGCGCTTTCCACTGTAGACGAGGGCGACGGTGTGGGTGTGGTCTCGTTGGCTGTTGGGCTTTTGGTGGTTTTACTTTGGACATCAGAGATGCCAAGAGTGATTCAGAGAGTGCATTTGGGAAGGCAGCCAGGCAGAGGTGCCAGGTGTGCATTTGGGATCAGTTTGGGTCATGTGTGGAGCAGTAACTGGCTCCACCCTATCATTTTCCCAGTGCAGTTTGGGTCAAGCATTCCCCCTTTCTTGGGGAGGGTTTGTGGGGAGACAGGTGTAGCCAGTGATGGTGGGCTGTCCTGTGCATTACAGGTTGCCAGATCCCCTCAACCCCATCCACTATCTACCTCCAGTCAGCACCTAGACATTTCCAAGTGCCTCCTGGGAGTCCAGGTCACTTCAGCTGAGAACCACTGTTAGAGGGCATGGTGTAGGCAAATCTCCTTACTTTAAGGCATATGTTATTAGGATGAAATAATAATGCTGAATCACAGGGCCAAAGTGAAATTGACCCTGTGGTGGATTCTCAGCCGGGCGAAATGGAGTCTTCATTAGCACAGTCTTCTTGATGTGGAGTTGGAGTTGAGAAGCCCAAAGGGTGAGCGGGATCCTGTTTCTGTTGATAGGATTGCAGAGGTACAGGACAGAGAGTGCAGCCTGACCTGTGGCCCAGGTGCAGGTGTAGTGTGTGTGTGAAGTATTCAGAATGCTGGGGAGCCCGAGGAGCTCTGGGTTAAGCATGGTTCCTTGCTGTAGCTTGTCTCAGCTATCAGGATCCAACATGCTGTTTCTTCAAAAGTCGACTAGAATCCTTGCTTTGAGTCTCCTTTAAACATGTCAGGTCACAACCCAGTCTGAGGAACACTGAATTTATGGGGGGTGGAGTGTTTGTTTGAGATAACCTTGAGGCTACTGTCTTGCCTCAAATTCCCAAGTGCTGGAGTTACAGGTGTGTGCCACCATTCCTGTCCTTGGGGTTTTACTATAGCCAAACTACCAGTGGCTTGACCTTGCAAGGATCCCTCTTAGAAAGAAAGGGAATTTTTACATAAGAAGTTTAGTAGCTACCAATAAAGAGGTGGGTGGGAGAATATAGTTAGGGAAGAGAGTGCTTAAAATCCTGTTAGAATAATGAAAAAGTATCAGAATTATTTTCTCTTGATACAGCTAATGTACGTCACTCTCGTGTACTGTTTTTCCTTACATGACCAAGAGACATTTATTTATTTTTTTGGTGGTATTTGGGGTTTGAACTCAGAGCTTCATACTTGCCAGGCAGGTGTTATACCACTTATACTTTCAGTCCCGGCAGACATTTTAGAGCCAGCGATTCCAGATCTAGATTACATTGTGAGTACCCATAAGGGAAGTTTCTGAGCATTTACTGTCACTTGCAAAAATGTAGATTAACATTAGAAAGAGTAACTGAATCCCTTTCCAAGATCTGAAGGATTACAACTTTGTCTATTTTCTTCACTCAACTGATGCCTGGGCTGATTCCTTGGCCTTTGCCCTGTAGAGACAAGATTGCTGTAAAAATGGTCCAAGCTGGAGCTTTTGGACTGTCTGATAACTGCTGGCACTGCTCCAAGGGTCTCTGGGAGCAGGACTAAAGCTAGGGTTATCAAGTACTCTGAGTGAGCATGAGTGTTGACAGCTGTTAGTAGGAGCAAGCATGGGGACAGGGGAAGGAAGAGTGTGGTATGCAGTGGCACCAACAGACTTATCACCATTAGAATGAAGCACTAATGCCCCAGGGACTTGGATCCCCAGGACACTACTACGACTACTACTACTGGTTTTTTTAAATTTTAAATCATAGACTCACATGAAGTTGAAAAAATGTAATTTCTCATGGAGGGTGATTGGCTGACCCTTTCCACTATGGATGGGTTTCACGTCTGCATCGCTTCTGTTTGGCATTTACTGTAACTTGTCAGTTGTTGTATTGGTATGAGGAGTTTATACCACTGACAATAATTTAGTTTTTTCTTGGCGCCTTGCGTATGCTTAGCACGTGCCCTCCCACAGAACTTAATTACATGGAGTTCACTGCTGTTTGGTAAGAAAAGCCTGTTCTAAGGATGCACATTGACTGCAAGTCAAAAATTCAGTGTGACACTTACTGAAGTGGCCTGAGCACTGTCCCTAGGCCGGGGAAGTGCCAAGCTTGGGGCACTACACATTGTATTCCTTGTGCCACTTTGTTTTACCACTGTTTCTTTTTACTTAAGATTTAGGACTGAGGGTGTCATGCAACTGGTAGAACGCCTGCCTAGCAAACAAGACACCCTGAGTGCAAAGCCCAGAACCACGCCCCCACCCCCTCCCTCCTCCCACACACAAAGAATAATTCAGGAATTTGACTGTAGGTTGAAAGAAGAAAAGGCATTTATGTTACGGTAACATATCAGTTTTGTTTATATTAAATGCAGTCCTGCAAATCTGAACTACTCAAAATCACGTAACCTTTCCAAGAGAAGCTGAAGGTTCTTCTGTTGTGTTGCTTTGTGGCTCTTGTATGTTGTATGGTTCTGTGTATGGTCTGGGTGGAGCAGTCACACATTGTACCTGTGGACTGCATTTTAAAACCAGAGGCACAATTTGTACACAATGTGGGTATTGGGATCCCACTGTCACTTTGTGAAACACCTAACCTCACTGCACTTCAGCTTCCTTACCTGCCCAGCAGAAATTAAGTTCCATCTTCCCTGGAGGATTTCCATGCTAGACTTGGATCTGTTTTGGCCTTGTATGTCTGTAAAGTCACGTGGCGAAACCTTTCTGCTACATCATTGATCAAATTTCTTACTTGTAATAGACTTACCCTTCAAAGAGAATATGGGAATATACCCCCTTAACAGGCTCAATACAGTCGTTCAGCTCTTAGGTGTGGCTTCCCCCTTTGAACTGCTCTTCCTTCCGATGGCCCTCTTGTGAACTGAGCAGGGGTGTGTGTAATAAAGGAATGGGGATGAAGAGGGTTTCATTGCTTTGCTGAAGAATACCCTCTGGTGAGGACTGATGGACATGTTTTCTTGAGAACAAATTCAAGTTAGTTGTAAGCTTCCAGCAACTCCTGTACATGCAGTGGTAGACCAAAGATCTCACTTGTGTGTGCAGCTTGGAGATGGAAGGGTTGTGGGTCCTGTCAAGATGCCTTCAGGGGTCTAGGGGTGCAGGATACCAGTGTGTCCTTATTAACATGCTTCACCAGAGCCCACTTGTGTGCTTTGGAACTCTGGGGAGTCAAGGATATAAGTAGAGCCTGGCTCTGCAGGGAAAGTCTTTCAGTCCCTTAAGATATGGCCTTGGTCCTGCCAGTCAGTGAACTGTTCCCTTGTGGTGAGTCAGGCACAGAAAGTGAACACCGCCAAACACTTCTGTAGTCATTTGACCCTCCATAGCAGTTTCATTCTGAGTCAGCAGTGTTGGTCAGTAACAGCTTCGGTGGCTGGGGACGATGGTTCCTTCCTTCATAGCATTTTGAGATGTAAACATTGCAACACTGCTGTGTTTGTCTAAGCTGATTGACCTGAATCACTTGCAAATGATCAGTGGTAGATAGAACTTGAAACTGAGACTGTCAGTCTAGACCCCACTAATAGTCACTGGGGAGTTCCGTAGTATTTAGTAATGTTTACTCTTTGTTGAAACAAATACCCAGTTCTTACCTTAAAAAAATTACTTCCGTAAGGAGTCCAGGCTAGTAGTCCATAAAATATTGAGGAAACAGAATTAAGTCATTTGTAGACTGACTTAGCCATTTTCTTACCTTAAACATGCTGTGCTTTCTTATCAGTGGCTGATCCCCTTCCCAAGCCCTTACCCACTGGTGCCTTCAGCATCACTCCCCTTTCTCCCCGCGAGTCATGTCCTTGACAGCAGTGCGAGGGGCACAGCATTCCTTCCCCCAAGCTTGTCCTCTCACTCAGGGCCCAGAATTACTTGGGAGTGAAGATACAATAGAATAAATGTTCCCACCCTAAACTCTGGAGTCCCAGGGAAGGCAGGTGTACTGAGCCCTCTGGTGAGGAAGGGTCCCCTTCTGCAGAAACTGCCATCTTAGATGTCTAGCCTTTGAATGAATTGGAAGCAAAACTGTCAAATTCCCAAGGCCTCTGCAGTTGGGTTGAGATGGTATAGAACCAGTGTGTGTATGTGCTTTCGTTAATGCCCTGGCTCTGTGATTAATGGTGTGTTTTCTTACAGACACCAGTTGGCGCTCCGAGGCAACCTTTCAGTTCACTGTCGAGCGCTTCAGCAGACTGAGTGAGTCGGTCCTTAGCCCTCCGTGTTTTGTGCGAAATCTGCCGTGGAAGATTATGGTGATGCCACGCTTTTATCCAGACAGACCACACCAAAAAAGCGTGGGATTCTTTCTCCAGTGCAATGCTGAATCTGACTCCACGTAAGAGTTTAAATGATGCATTACAAACCGCAGATCGTCACATTGCGCTCTTGAATGCCAAATTCGGCTTCCAGTGTCTGTGCTGTCTCTGCGCAGCCCTTTCATCTAAATGAGATTAAATATGTCTCACAGAGCCCCTGGTTTGTATTATCAGAACTAGAAAGCTGTATTTTCCCTTTGTAAATAAAGAACAGAAGCTTATGTGTTAGCATGTACAAGGTCTTGGTATCGAGGCCTCTCCAGACCAGCTGACAGTGAGCTTCCTGCCTCTCTGCAGTAGCTGCCTGGCAGCCGATGGTGTGGCAGCTCCTGCCTTGTAGCTTCTTCTGGAAGTACAAACCAAAACTTCCACTGAGGCATTCACTGCAGAGGCCTCTGAATTATTTTAGGGAAGAAAAATTTTGCTCACATAATTTTTTAAAAGGTTTAATTTAAAGATTGAGAAAAAACCCCTTCTATTTAGGTAAAATTGAAACTGGAGACTTCACCAGTTTGAGTATTTCTGGCCTGGTTACTCCACGCTAGGAGAGAGCCCAGGGGAGAGAATGGTATCCAGAGGCACGAGCTCTGGCTGTTCTGTAAAACACCCTGGGAATAATTCTTTTTTTTTTTTTAATGTTAAGAAGTGCCAAATGGGAATGGAGTATGACTCAGTGGCAGGGCCCTAACGTGTGCAAGGCCCTAGATCCAATCCCCAGCACTGCCAAAAAAAAAAAAAGTCAGGTTTATGCTGCAGCCAAACCTTTTTTTAAAAAAATTTTTCTTCTGTCTATTATGATTTGATTACATGGGCATTTGGGCTGGATGGGTTTTCTGCTGTGGGCTTTGACCTGCACGTTAGTTTGGAAAAAGTGAGCTAGCTGCCTATATCCCATAAGCATCATCAAACACAAATGCCCATCAAGGACAATGCTGTCCTTCCAGTTGCTTTACAGAAGTTTAGACCAGTCTAAAGGCCAGTGACAAGGGTCACATGTGCAGCTCTCCTTCAGTTGCAAATCTTTGTTAGTGGGCTTTAAAATGGGGCATTGGCCCTGAGAATCCTCTGTTGTCTGCCCCACACCTGACCACATATGTAGGCTGTTCTCTTGTGGCCATGATTGGTCCACGTGCTCTGAGTCCTTGAACCTGGGCAGGACTGCAGAGTGGGGTGGTGGTGGAGTCCCCCTGATGCACACTATCTGTGCATCTGTACTGTGCCACAGGTAACGCAGGGCAGGAGTGTCACTGGCGAGTGCTGCAGTATTACTAGAGTGTGGTGGTGTGGGCTGTGTCTCTGTTAGTTTTATTTTATTTTTTCCCCTTGTGGTGCTGGAGATGGAATCGAGGTCTTGTGCATGTTAGTTGATTGCTCTACCACTGAGCCACACCCCCAGCTTTACTATAGTCGTTCACAAAAATCTGGGACCAGTATTTAACGTTCAGAAACTTGTATACATAAAATTGGAAAACTTTAAAGACTCTGAAAGGCCAAACCTTTGGATTCAAACATTTTAGGATGAAAAAAACCTAAAACTGTGAGGAGAGCCACTGCCTGGCTCCATAGGGTACCTCTAATAAAGGTAAACAGTACCCCAACTCAAAACGAGAAAGGGATTTTTGTGTGTCTTCAAAAAGCATATGGGCATGAGTTAATATGTCACTGAGTCTTAGATTATGTTTCTACACAGGTCGTGGTCTTGCCATGCACAAGCAGTGCTGAAGATAATAAATTACAGAGATGATGAAAAGTCCTTCAGCCGTCGAATTAGTCATTTGTTCTTCCATAAAGAAAATGACTGGGGATTTTCCAATTTTATGGCCTGGAGTGTAAGTAACAGCATATTTATTCTGAAGATTCTGAACCATATTGCTATTCTACTAATTGTTTTATTCCTGAAATCCTTCTGCTTATTGTACAAAGAAATTTTTGCTTTGTAAATTGGGCAGGTGTCTGGAAATCTATTTGGCTTTCTGGCTTAGGTGTTTAGCACACCTGCCTGGATTCAAGTCTCAACTTTTAACCACACACTGGGATGTGCTTTCTGAGAGGCTGACTGACGTTCCTTCAGAAGACAGTACTCTGCTGGCCACTGCTGGGTGGTTTCACGCAGCTCAGTTTTCGAGTTAGTTCACTTTGCTCTTTTTTTGCAGAGGTGGTGACCACTGGAATGTTCTTTGGCGTGATGCTGCTTCATGTTATTCTAGCACAGTTCTCTGGAAACTCCCAAGCCTTGCTTGACTGAGCAGATGCTGGTTCCTCCCGTCAGTGCTATGGCCCTTCTCCCTAGCAGCTCTGTGGAGCCTGCTCTTGCAGACTCTGTTAGAGACCAGCTTAAAACAAAACACACTTCCAAACTAGAAGCACAATTGGGGTATTTACAAAAGCAGGATTTTAGTCTTAATACAGAGCAAAGTGCAATTGTCTCTTTGAAATAAGGTGAGGATTTTTGTATCATTATGTGAGGTGGATATTTCTATTTATCTTTTATAGGAAGTGACTGACCCTGAGAAAGGATTTATAGATGATGATAAAGTTACTTTTGAAGTTTTCGTACAGGCAGATGCTCCCCATGGAGTTGCGTAAGTTTTCCTTTTAATTGGGTGCTATTAGAAACACCTTTTGTGCTGTATTAAAAAACGTATTATCAGCATGTATTTAAGTGATGCATGTGTTCTGCCTCTGCGCCTGCCTCGCAGTGCCCAGATTATAAATGCCTGCTTCACTTTCCTCATTTAATAGAGTGATTGAGCTGTTCCTTTCTATCTGTCACTTCTGGGCACCAGAAATATAATTATCCTTAATGAATCAGCTGTAAGTCTTCAGATTCTTAACGAACGTGCAGTCTGGACTGTAGAGGAGCCAAGACCTGTGTGTAAATAGCCACAGCAGAGGGCAGGGATGTGAAACTCATCCAGGAGAGCAGGGGAGGCACTGAGCACCACTGACAGCTCAGGTCTGTGCAAAACTGACCAGAGCCATTGGGCTTCCAAGGCTATTGGGCGAGTTCGTGGGACTCCAAAATTGACTGCACAAGAAATGTCTCCTCCATTATTGGCCACGCTCCCTGGTGGCAGTGTTCACATCTCTCCATTCTGTGGAGGAGGAAATGGGGGAATGGGGGGTGGGGTGGATGTTGCCCTGTGGAGTCAGACCCAACTCAGAATCTACTTGTTCTCCTAGCCAGCCCCCAAAATAGCAAAACAAAAGGGAAAAAAAGTCTAGGAGTTTAGAAGTTTGAATTAAAACTTGTTACGAACACTTTCCTGCTTGTGTGACTCTGGTGATGAGGGATGTGTGAAAGTCGTTCCCTGGTCAGGATGTTGGACTGCAGTGATGGCATGTAACAGTGACGTTAGGCCACGACACTGACAGCAACTTGGGCTGACCCCCACGCATTGCAGAAGGCATCTATGCAGTTTCCCTTCAAGTTTGCGCTGATCTTTCAGGTGGGACTCAAAGAAACACACGGGCTATGTTGGCTTGAAGAATCAGGGAGCAACCTGTTACATGAATAGCCTGCTGCAGACTCTGTTCTTCACTAATCAGCTACGGAAGGTAAGTGGGTGATGTTTTCCTCCCCACAGCCTTCTACCCACTCTTTCCTGTCAGGTCTACTAAGGTCAAACAAAGCCTTCCCCGTGCTGTCGTACTTCCTCAAAGGGCAGCCCTGAGTGGACTGCCAGGCTTTGTTTCCTTTTGCGTGGACAGCTGCTGTCTAAGCTAACTTACACAAATAACTTAAAATACAGGCGCTTTCTTGTAAACATGAAGGCCATTAATGGCAATTGTTAAAGTTCTCATATCAGAATTCAGTTGAAAAGTGACTGGCTGAGTGTGCTTTGCACTATGAACACAGCTTATGTTTATAAATGCAAGAAGAGACCCAGTTTGAATCCAGTGTAGGATAAATGGCTGATTGTGTGTTGATGGGCATGTGAAGTACTCCTGCTGAGGGCATCAGCTGACTTCTCTTGTACTCTTCTTCTATACAGATTTCTATGATGAGATCATACCATAGGGGTGGTTGAATGGGGCTGATTCTCAAACATCTAAGTTTTCATTAGATGTTCTGTTCACAAATCATGGTGAATTGAAAAATCTTGCTGGGCGGAGTGCGAAGTGAAAGTGGTTCTCTTTGGGTGGTGAGGTGTTTTTTGTGCATCATTTCTAGAGAGATTCATGATTTTGTAAACTTTCCAACCTGTTTTGAGACCGTGAAAAAGCCCAGTAATACTAGAAATGTGGTACTAGAAATAGTTTGACATAAAATGGCATGCTTATTTCTGAATCCATTTGTTTAGGCTGTGTACATGATGCCAACAGAGGGTGATGACTCGTCCAAAAGTGTCCCTTTAGCATTACAAAGAGTGTTCTATGAATTACAGCACAGCGATAAGCCCGTAGGAACAAAAAAGCTGACAAAGTCATTTGGGTATGTATCATAAACTACCTTGCCATGCTTTCTGCCCTACACAGACAGAGTAGAAGTCTTGCAGAGCAGTGAGGGTGTTTGGCTGTCAGTGTTAGTGTCCTATTGTTTAACCTTTTGCAAGCAGCTTTCTTTGAGAATTTCTCTTGAAGCCATTCACCTCTTGAACACATGCAACTTCCAAATGTATGCATTCTTAATTTGTAAACACTGCTTCCCTGAAGCAGAAATCTTTGGAAGAATATAAATTGTAAACATTTGCTGTCTTCTGAGAATTCATTTTCTTTTTGGATTATAATCCCCCAAAGTAATCCTCACAAAAATGAATTGGAGAATAGTGGCTGATTATTCAGTTTAGTTTTTAAATCTAGGTTGCTTTCTAGTTTATGCATTTGACATTTGGAGGTTTACATACATATATTCATTTTTCTTTGCAAGGTGGGAAACTTTAGATAGCTTCATGCAACATGATGTCCAGGAGCTATGTCGAGTGGTAAGTTTGCAGCAGTCATCCTGTGCCTCTTACATTGAATATCTTGAAGCAGTGTCAGAAGATGTTACCAAGTAAAGCTTCAGACCTATTTCAGATAACACTCATTTCTATTCAGGACCAAACCTAAGTTAGAGGAAAAAGGCAGCACCTATCTAATTGTAAAAGCTTGAAAGAATAGATTTGATTACTATTTGAAGGTAAAGTCTATGGGAAGCTTGAGTTTAAACAGCAGTAGGCTTTCAGCTTGTTAAATCTGAATATATACAAAGAAACAAGAGGTTGGCTCAGGTGGCTGTCCTAGTGGTTCTCAGTCATTGCAGAGTCCTAGCACCCAGACTCCCGTGCACCTGCAGCTCACTGAGACAGACCTCTGTGGGTTGGCATTTCTCTCAAGGCCTCGTTAGTCACTAGCAAATTCTCATTCTTCCAATTGTGAGGAAAGACAGATGGACACACACACACATACACACATGAAATGGCGACTCAAGGTGATTGGCTGGGCAAGGTGTGTTTTCTTTTTTGCAGCACTAGCTGGATTGAATCCAGTTCATTAAATATCCATGGACAAACCAGTCAATCCTGTTGACAGGCTCAACCTCATTAATCTCTTGGTGTGGACCATTACGAGTTAAGTTTAGTGATCAATTCACATGCTTTTCCACAGAGGTAAAATGAATACAAGCAGTGCTTCTAAAGGCACTGGATTACTAATTCACCCAAGGCTGTATGAAAGGTTTAACCTCAGCTGTTGCATGTAGAGATGTTTTTGTAAAAATCCAACCAAGACAGAAGATTTGTATGTTTTTGATAATTGCATGCCAAAGGTCATAATATTTTTATAGACTAAAATTTCATTCATTGACGTTTCCTAGTCAAGTATTAAGTTACTGTATGCTACTTAAGCATAAGACTTTTTTTTTTCTTTTATCTCAAACCTTCTCTTTCAGTTGCTTGATAATGTGGAAAACAAGATGAAAGGCACATGTGTAGAAGGCACCATCCCAAAATTGTTCAGAGGCAAAATGGTGGTATGTGTTCTTAGTTTAATGGTTTGAAAGATGTTGAGGTGCAGATGTGACTACTAATACTGAAGCCGTTTTGTTTGCTTCTTCACAGTCCTATATCCAGTGCAAAGAAGTAGACTATCGGTCTGATAGGAGAGAAGATTATTATGATATCCAGCTAAGTATAAAAGGAAAAAAAAATAGTAAGTTTTGTGTGTATAACAGCACGGGCTTCAGTTCTCATTTGCACATTAGTTTCTGTTGAAATACAGCATAGATGTGGGGAGGGCTCTGATCTCACTATGTGTGGTGCACCATGTGCATGCCCAGGTCTGCCCACACCCCCATCCCGCCCCCTCCACGCCTAGGCCTTGAACTGGGTAGGTAGATCTACACCTTGAGCCACTCCACCAGCCCTTTTTTATGATGGGTTTTTTCAAGCTCCCAGCTTTCACCCAGAAACAGATGGCCTGCCAACTTTTCCAGGGTCCCACCCAGCCCCTTGTCCCTCTCAGAGGAAACCACTGTGTGGGCTTCCTTCATCCCTGACTGATACTTCATGATCAAAAGCAGTTAGCATACTTGGGCTTTGCTTCTGGTTGCTGCTGTTGAGCATTATATTCCTGAGATACATTCATGTTGTAAGTTGCAATAGTTTGACCATTTTCATTGCTTTATAGTGTTCCATTTTACAGGTAGCTTTTTTTTTTTTTTTTTTTTTTTGATATTATTCTTTTCTAGTTATTTTGGTGGTTTTCAGTTTGAGAGGCTATTAGGCTAAAGACTGCCTATTCCTGGGCTTGCTTGCATTCCCGGCAAGTGGATTTGCTTCTTGGACCTGTGAGTTTACAGTGGATTTATACCAAGTTTATCTTGTCTTAAAGCTCTGTGGGGATGTCTCCTTTTCAAATTGCCACTGGCAGTTTGAATAGTTTTCCTTTGTGAAATGCCAGTTTTCATGTATTTTTGTATTGACTTCTTACTTCGTTCTTTGTTCTTTTAGTGCTGAGGATGGAATCCCTGGCTAAGCAAGTGCCTTCTACTCTATCCACATTCCCTACACCTTGAGCCCTTTTTTTGCTGCCTTTTTTTTTTTTTTTTCCTCGAGCTAAGGTCTCGGCTCTTGAACTATTTTCTTGGGCTGGCTTTGAACCAAGATCCTCCTGATCTCTGCCTCCTGAGTAGCTAGGATTACAAGCATGAGCCACCGGTGCCTGGCTATGCTGATAGCTGTTGGTGGTGATGTGCTCTGCTGTTGTCATCTTCATGTTCTGCTGCTGTTCACTCACCTTCTTGAGCCTATGGGTTCATAGTTTTCATCAAATTTGGGAGAATCTTCACTACTCCTCACATGGTCCGTGCAGCACAGTCTTCTGTTGGCCTGGTCTTTTACATTGCTGCTTCTGTTGCTTTGTATTCAACTTCACCAACATTCTGCAGTGTCTCATTTGTTCTTAACCCCAGCCATGGTGTCGGGCTTACTTCTCTGGCAGTGTCTCCTACACACTCTTGCTTGCTTCTACCTTTTTGAATACGAAGGACATAGTTAAAACTTGTGTCGTCTGTATGGTTTCTAGATGTTTCTGTGGAATGTTTTTCATCATGGGCCCTGTTCTGGTGCTCTGCCTGCTTTGGTTGAATGGCAGATATGGTTTTACCTGGAGTTTGATCTTCCTGGTCTTTATTCTGATGCAAAGATTAGATACTTGGTAATAGTGTGATTCTTTCCGAGCTAGTTGTAAGCACTGTTAGGAGGGAGCACAACAGCACTTTTCTGCTGAACCTCCCAGTACAGGGTTTTCCACTGTGGCTGGAAGGAACACTCAAGCTCATTAAGAGATCTGAAGACTTCTTCTGGAGTTGTTCCTTTCAGTGTCCCCAGATAGTGTCTTCCTTTGTGCATGTCTCCAGGCCTGTCTCTGTATAGCTGTGTGTTCTTGGCTACTTGACACATTCTAGCTGCCCTGTGCTGCTGGACTTTGTCTCTAATCTTAGTGGATGTTGGGTACTGTGTGGGATTACTTCACTTTGTCCCAGCCTGGAAACTAATCAGTGAGCCAGGTCCTGGCCTAATTCCTTTCTCTTAGGAAACCCTGTCCCACGCTGCCTGTTGTCCTGAGCAGGACAGCTGTGACTCCATTATTTGGTTGTGTTATTCCACCTCAACCATATAAGAGGTCCTTTTCTTTGCCAGTACACTCTCCTCATGTTCCTATTTTTTTCAAGCAGAATTTATTTTAGTGAAAGTCAGTGTGTCAGATTTTGCTTACCTGATATTCTGTTCCCTGCCACTTTTTTGGTTGTCTTCATTCTACCTAGAACAGGTGTGTGTGTTAGGCTGTCAAGGTGACCTCTTTCTGCCTCATGTGGGTCCATCTGAGTCCCGGGGTTTCCTCATTAGTCCAGGTGATTGACCAGCCGCTCATTTTTACCCATCTTTTTATTAGGCCCATTGGTCATCCACATGGCCCCTTCCATCCTGTCCTAATAGTAGCTTTGTAATAAGTGTTCCAGACCTTGACTCTCTACACTGTCATTTTGCTACCCTTGAGAAGTCCATCAGTGTCCCTTGGATTAGTGGAGGTGACACTGGTAGCAATGTCACCTGCAGCCTTCAGTAGGGCATGAAGGCACAGTCATGTCTCTGCTGGGTTTCCTGGGCATACTAGTGTGCATAGTTTGCACTTGGGTTGGCTCGGTCATACCTGAGTGCTCACAGTCACGTTGGTTGACCTGTTTCTCTCTTTCTTTTTCATGAAGTATTTGAATCTTTTGTGGATTATGTGGCAGTAGAACAACTGGACGGTGACAACAAATACGACGCTGGGGAGCATGGCCTTCAGGTAACATGGGGGTTCTGTGCAGGCCTCCCCTTGCAGCCTGTGGCTGATTAAGTGTACACTTCCCTTTTCACATGCTTCTGGAATTTGCAGCATGGAAATTTCTGCTGGGAAGGGTGGGAGGGCGTGAGCGCGTGAGCCTGAAGCTGCAGTACAGCTCTCCACCAGTTTACTGGAGCATGGCTACAGGATTTGAAGTTTTCTTTTTCATCTCTTCTGTTGCTCACTGACGCTTTTCTTATTTTCCTGGCCACAAATAAGATGTCCTGTGCACTTTGACTCCGCCTTTCGTTTGTGCACTTGTGTTTTTCCAGTACAGTTACCGTCTGAGGGTTGTACTTGCAGGGTGAGGGATGCATTCCCCACTCTCATGGCCTGAGGCACTCCAGGCCATCAGGCAGGGATCTGTGAGAACAGAACTAGCCCAAGGTCTTGTTTTCCAGCTGCATAACTGCTTCTTGTGCTTCCTGTGCTTTCCAAGCCTGTCCATCTGGGTTCTCCTGGTAGACCAGAACACGCACAAAGCTATAGCTCAGAACACCCTGCCGAGCGAGCACTGCTGGGGGAGGCTGAGCTTTGGGGTCACAGGGCCTGCCTGCCCCAGGAATCCCAGCCTAGAAATTCGGATATATTTGAGTGTCTGGCAGCATGGAGGCTGGTGTAGCCACTAGGGAGAAGTAGGGGTGAACAGTGAGCACGAGCTGTGCCCAGGATGTGGAAGAGCCCAGGGGAAGGAGGCTGTTCTGTTTCCTTCCAGGCCACAGCTCTGTTCATCTGAGAAGGGGGTCCAGTAGCACACCTAATTAAGTGGAATCACAATGTTCTGCTTTCCCACTAGATGATTTTCTGTGGTTCTCTGTGTTTTTATAATGTTTAATGACTAATGTGTCAGCAAATGACTTGGCTTATATAACCACTCCCCTTTGCTGGACATTCAAATGAGACTATAATCTCCCACACACATGATGGTGCAGTATGATGTCCAGTGACAGAGAGACCTGAACATAGTTTCTGTTACTTTGTTTTGAGACAGGATCTTGCTATGGAGGCCAGACTGACCTCAAGCTGGACTCTTCCTGCCTGAGCCTCCCAAGATCTAAGATTACAGGCTTGGCCGCCATGCCCAGCTTAGTGAAAGCATTTTAAGGGCTCTGCAAATGGACATCCAGACATGCTTGCCTTTGCATCCCAAATCCTCAGACATGTTCCAGTTGTGCAGGAACACAGGGGTGACCTAAATGTGCCTTTCTTTTCAATTTCAGGAAGCAGAGAAAGGTGTGAAATTCCTAACGTTGCCACCGGTGCTACATCTGCAGCTGATGAGATTTATGTACGACCCTCAGACGGACCAAAATATCAAGATCAATGATAGGTAATCTGAGGTGATGGGAAGGGGTTGGGGTGAGGTGGGTGGTCCCCTCCTCTGCTGCCTTCTTAGTGTATCTCTGATTTACTTGAGTCGTGTCTCCCTTCCCCCTCTCCCCGGGCAGAGATGTTGAGGGGTAGGCTCCTGTAAGAGAGGTTAGAGGTCAGACTCTGCTGTTGCAGCTGGTGCCACTGCTCTTCATCCTCACCCTCTGCCTGGCAGCTTGAAGGCTATGAGCGTAGTTATTTCTTTTACTAGTCAGTTGGGTTTTGTGTTACCTCAACTTGCTGTGTCTTCAGTCTCTCAGTTGTTACAATTGTAGAATGTGCTAGAATTTCCAGAAATGCTGAGGTGTGAGGGTATGTGTGCCCATTACAGGTGGCTTTCAGATTCTGAAGATACCAAATGCAGGAGTGATAGTCCCTGCTACCTTACCCACCCCATACAGGGTGGAGGGATTGGTGTCCCTTCACATCAGAGGGGAGAATGTGACCACATCACATCATTTTCCACCGCCTGGGCCTTAGCTAGCCACTTTGGTGAATGGAACCCAGACCACTTCAAGGTGTTGGATAGTTTAACAGAATTTGCCTTTGGAATTATTTACCAGTATTTTTTAAAATGGTGAAATTTCACATAAACGTTCAAGTTTCTCACGTGGTTGGGGAAATTGGACACTTGGCATTATGGGGCTGTAGGGCCTGCAGGTGCTGAAGGCTGAAGCTGGGCATAGCCCAGCCACTGGGCGCCCATTCTGCTTAGGACTTCGGCTCTGCCCTGCCCTGCTTTCCTTCTTTTCTGAAGGCGTGTTCATTTGTCTCCTGTGATGATGAGATTTTATCATGTAAATCAAGCATCATGAAGCCAATAATTCAGAGCTGAGTCAAGTGCAGTATGTTTGTAGAATCAGGACAGAAATCAGTTTACTCCTCCTTCCTGCAGGTGTGACTTTCCCACACTACTCAAGTGCTAGTATGTCCTAACTGGTTAGCTCCTGGACCTGCAGGCTCACGTATTGATGCCTTAGAACGATCTACGCCCCAGAAAGTTCAGTGGAAATTTGTTACAGGAGCAGCTATCATGTAAGGTCGCTGCACTTGGATCTCTGTTAGTGTCTCAGTCTCCAGGTATTTCTCAAATCTAGCCTCAACCTTTATATTGACATGAGTGATTAACTGTAGGGTGATCTCAGAAGTAGTTCAAAGATGAACCATTAACTTAGTCCATGAAAGCTGAATTTCTTTTAAAAATGTTTTCATAGGTTTGAGTTTCCAGAACAATTACCACTTGATGAGTTTTTGCAAAAGACGGACCCAAAGGATCCTGCAAATTATATTCTTCATGCAGTTCTGGTTCACAGTGGAGATAATCATGGTGGACATTATGTGGTTTATTTAAACCCCAAAGGGGATGGCAAAGTAAGTGTGGCTTGCAGGGTGATGGCATTACGAAATCTAACACTGACTGTGCCTCTTCTGGTTCCTGCTTCATGAATTCATTGGCTAAGGGTTCCTTCCTGGCCTTTGATGGGTCTGTGTGTCCTCTGGCTGTGAAGTGCTATTGTCCTGATACCGTAGATGTAAATGGTTAATCAAAGATTTTATTTCCCTTTGTTAGTAACAAACACGGGGCTGTACAGAATCCCTAACTATCCAGTATGAGGCTTGTGAACACTACAGCAGTTACCATGGCTTGGGTTGGGGAGGACGCATTGCATTCTGTGTTACTTTCCCGTACTTCATTTTCCATGGTTCCTCTGCTGTGGATCTCCATTACTTCAGAGTGCAGAGGACGTGATAGCATTAGGCAAATAAGGCTTTCAGAACCTGCATCCAAGACCACAGGGCCAGCGAGTAACCAGAACAGGGCTGAGTGCTGTTGGACACATGTGAGGGCTCCGTCCAAGACAAGGGATTGGATAAATGCAACTTAGGCTGGCTTTTTATTTTTTAATATCAGGAACATACCTGCTGAGATTTGTCAGGCTAGCATAATATACCCCCATTGAATTTTACAGCCACAGAATAAAGTTTCAATGTCATATGATGAATTAGGCATGCTCAGTATGGCTTTTTAAGTCTGCAAAGAGTTGGTAGTATCCAAAGATTGACCCTAACTGGAAACTGGTCTTTTGAGTAGATTACAGAATTTTCCAGTGGGGACTAAATGATGTGGCTCAAGCTGTAGAGCTCCTGGCAAAGCTTTGAGTTCAAACCCCAGCATCACCACCAAAAAAAAGAAAGAAAGTTCCAGTGGGCAAATATTAGCACTTTCCACAGAATATTGAACGAGGAAGGAAGGCAGAAAACCACTGAATGAAGGAAGGATTCCTGAGCAGGCCTGTGCCCCCCGTCAGTTCTTGCATTTGGGGACAACACTGTCTTCAGTGCTGGCTGCTCATCCTGCTGCCTTACTTGTCTCTGCTGACATGTGATCATGTTTTCCTTCCAGTGGTGTAAGTTTGACGACGACGTGGTGTCCAGGTGTACTAAAGAAGAAGCAATTGAGCACAATTACGGGGGTCATGATGACGACCTGTCTGTCCGACACTGCACTAATGCCTACATGTTAGTGTATATCAGGGAATCAAAGCTAAGTGAGTACTGCTGGCTGCATGCCCTTCCCAGTGCACACTAGTACAGTTGTGCCACAAGTCTGTCTGTTGCCTTGGTTTGTTTTGTTTTGTACTGGGAGTTGAACTCTGAGCTTCACACTTGGTAGGCAGGCACCCTACCACTCTGTGCTCCCATCTGTCTTGATGTGTTAGTGGCGTGAAATGAAATACAGTGGTGAAGTGCAGTGGCTCCAGCTATGCCACCTGTCCAAATGTGTTTTCTGCTTATTACACTATATCTCTGGAGACGGACACTAGATTGAGCTTGAGACTTTGAGGGTTTACTAGTGACACCCTAAAATCAAGGCCTTGTACAGAGGGGACACGGAATGAGCACCGAGGTGAAAGAGGGTGCGTTTGTCCTGCAGGTGAAGTTTTACAAGCTGTCACAGACCATGATATTCCTCAGCAGTTGGTGGAACGATTGCAAGAAGAGAAAAGGATCGAGGCTCAGAAGCGGAAGGAGCGGCAGGAAGCCCATCTCTACATGCAAGTGCAGGTCAGTGTCTCTGCTCAGGGGAAGCTGCATCACAAGATCTTGTCAACCTGGTGTCTGGGCCAGAGGGACTATGAGCAGCTCAGGGTGGTCTGCTCTGGCAGCCCTGGGAGCATTTCTGACATGGCTTCTGGGTCAGCTGGCAAGTGTCAGTCCAGGGCCCTGACTGTTCGGGTGCCCAGCTAGCTTAGAAGTACTGTAGAACACCGGTGGAGCTTTAGGAGTGCTGCTGCGTGTTTATAGGACCACAGAAGGTGTCAGATGGGAAGCCAGAGGCAGATTGAAGGTGACAGCAGGGAGGAGTGCAGCAATGGCATTGCACTGTGTGTTCATCTTTAGGTTCTGGTCATTTCAGAGTGCTATTCTCCATGGTCTTAGGGAGATGTTCCATTGGAGCACAAGCCTAGTTCTGAGTATTTTCCAGTTTCACTGTGCTTGGCGTGACTTGTTTTCTGTTCATGTCAGTTGTAAGCTGTGCTCTGTGCTTGTGTGTGTTTTCAGATAGTCGCAGAGGACCAGTTTTGTGGCCACCAAGGAAATGACATGTACGATGAAGAAAAAGTGAAGTACACGGTGTTCAAGGTTCTGAAGAACTCCTCCCTGGCCGAGTTTGTCCAGAGCCTCTCCCAGACCATGGTGCGTGCTGGGCCACCACTGAGGTCCCTCACCCTAGCCTCCAAATCCCACCTGCTTAAAAAGACCACCTGTTTATAAAAGACCAACTACCTCTGGGGGAGGGTAGCAGTGCCTGAAGGACCTGAGCACAGCCCTTGTCCAAGGAGGGGAAGAAATAATGAGCTGTTAGCTGTGGCTCAGAATCCTGCAGGTGTTCAGAATGAGTTTCCATCCCTCAGAGGCAATTGTCTCGTAGAGTTCACAAAGGAATTGGCATGTGAATGTTACTAGTGCCAACTGTTTTTGAAACGCGGGCACTCGAGCCCTGGAATGTTAGTGGTCCTGAAGGGCTGGGGTGTGGGCATAGTCGTCCAAATCAGGTGGGGTGAAGGCTCACAATTAGGAGTTTAATCTTTGATGTACAAAAGCAGTACCTTGATACAGGCTTGAAGTATATTTACTTACTTTCAGGGATTTCCACAAGATCAAATTCGATTATGGCCCATGCAAGCGAGGAGTAATGGAACAAAGCGGCCAGCAATGTTAGATAATGAAGCAGACGGCAATAAAACAGTAAATATTGTTGGTGGACCCTGGGTGTCTCGTGGAGCTCTGCAGGAGGCCCTTGTCCTCTGCAGTTGGCAGCCTTGTTTCCCTTTTGGTCCAGTTCTGTAGAACTGGATGTTTCCTGCAGGGCTTGAGTGTAGTTTTCACTCTTTCACTAAGCCATTCACATCTTCTAAAATCAGCATCTTTTTTGGAAATAGATGATTGAACTCAGTGACAATGAAAACCCTTGGACAATATTCCTGGAAACAGTTGACCCCGAGCTGGCTGCTAGTGGAGCAACATTACCCAAGTTTGATAAAGATCGTAAGTGCCCACCAAGTAGTGCCTGGCTGTACCCAGAGCAGGAGAGTCCTGACTCTTGTAGCACACAGCTTGACCCTTCTTTCCTCAAACAAAGACTGGCCAGTCACTGAGTCCTGTTCATGTTCACTGGGCTGTGAGTTGTAAGGGGTTGGGCGGTAGAAAGGTTGGGGTACCCTGTTCCTTCTTCACTTTAGTTCCCAGCTTGTGCTCCTCACTCTGACAGATTGATTGGTGCAGGGATTGCAGGGGTCTGTTAAGTTAGGTAGCAAATATATCAGGCTCTGTGGATTACACCAATGCACATGTGGCTGCCGTACAGCCCAGCCGAACAAAGAAGCTGACCCTTCCTATAAAAGTTAATGCTGAGAAGGGTCACTTCTGGCAAACTCATGGACTGTTACCATAGATTCCTGTGGCCACACTCATCCCACTAGGTGTAGTGCCAGGTTGCAAAACTAAGATTTCTTAGCTTCCCGTACTTGATATCTTTTCCTGCCCTGTATAGCTTGTGACTCCTCCAGTTTCAGGAGTGGAACTTAACTTAACCTCTTTCCTCATAGGATCAGTTGTTGAATGAACAGATGAAGACCACATAACTTTCAGGGACCTTAAGCTGTCATGTGGCTTGTCACTGGCGGCTTCTTTTTTTTTTTTTTTTTTTAAAGGAAAAACATAAGCATTGTACTGTTAAGATTCTAACAACCTGTTTATCAATTGTAGATGATGTGATGTTATTTTTGAAGATGTATGATCCTAAAACACGGAGCCTGAATTACTGTGGGCATATCTACACACCCATATCCTGTAAAATACGTAAGTCCCAGCTACACAGACCTACGGAGTAGATTTTGCTTGGTGTACTAAAGCGGTGGATTTAATAAGTCTCTTTATCCTAGGTGACTTGCTCCCAGTTATGTGTGACAGAGCAGGATTTATCCAGGACACTAGCCTTATCCTCTATGAGGTTTGTGTGCCTCCTTCTCTATACTGTCACTGTGGCTTTCAGAGGCGGTGGTATTTTTCTAGCTCTGGTTTTGTTATTGCTTAGGGCCTCTAGTCTTGAGTTGAGAATTACCCAGTTTTAATAGGTGACTTTTACTTGTTCAGGATAAATAATTATTAGATACTTACAGATTTATTTTTCCATGAGCATTTTGACATACTAAAATTGTACGTGAGACTGGGCAAAGTGGCTCACACCTGCAATCCTAGCTACTACAGAGGTAGAGATAGGGAAAATTACAGGTTGAGGATAAACTGGTGAGGGGGAAAATGTCAGCTAGCTCCCCATGTCAACCAGCAGCTGGATGTGGTGGTGTGTGCCTGTCTTCCAGCTACATGGGAATCATAAATAGGAGGACTGCAGTCCAGTCTAGTCTGGGCAGAAAGTGAGGTCTGTCCCCAAAATAACTAAAGCAAAAAAAGGGTTGCAGTATGTCTCAAGTGTAGAGCGCCTTGTTTAGCTATGTGAGGCCTTAAATTCAAACCCCAGTACTGCCAAAAAAAGTATGTGAGCCGGATGTGGTAACATCTACTTGTAGTCCCAGCTAGGAACCGAGGCAGGATGGATTCAGAGCCAGACTGGGCAACAGGCTGAGACCCTATTTTTAAAAAGTAGGTGGAAGCCAGTTCTGGTAGTTCACATCTGTCATCCTAGCTAATGGAGAGGTTGAGATCGGGAGGATTGTCGTTCAAGGCCAGCCCAGGCAGATAGTTTTCAAAGCCTCCCTCCCCACCAAAAATCTCCAAAACCATTCTCCACCCGAGCAAAATGGACTGCAAGTGTGGCTCGAGTGGTGGAGCACCTGCTTTCCATGTGTGAAGCTCTGGGTTCAAATCCCAGTATCACAAAAAAAAAAAAGAGAGGTAGTGGATAGATAGGTGTAGATAGTAGTAGTTCAGGTGTAGAGAAAATACTTGTATATAGAGGAGATGACCATATTAAACATAAGACATTTTCAGTGTAGCCGTTTTATATCTTTTACTACAGGAAGTTAAACCGAATTTAACAGAGAGAATTCAGGACTACGATGTGTCTCTTGATAAAGCCCTTGATGAGCTGATGGACGGTGACATTATAGTGTTTCAGAAGTATGTGCCTTGTGACAGTTCTGTCACCTTATACTCATCAGAGTGGGTTTGGTGGGGATATTTTGGGGGAGGGTTGGTCCTTTATCTGGGAACTGTTTTTTACCTAGATTGAGAGTCATGAATTGTTGGAATATTGAGTAGTTGGTCTTTGGGTTTTGGAATTGATGGCAGTGGGCATCTACATCATTTGTATTCTTTCAGATCCCACAAGTGTCTGCAGTGGGCTTGATCATTGGACAGGGCCGGGTGCAGAGTCTTTATGGAATAGCCAAATCATTTTCCTTACAGTGTGCCTACTCAGGCAATTCATATGTATGTCTGTGTGTGATACCTGCAGGTCTGTGGTCAAAGACATTTAATGTCTAAACAGCTTTACGTTGGGTAAAAGCCATAGTTTTCTGACTCTGGGTCAGAGACCCACTCTCACCAGGCCTGTGGACCAGGTACCGTTGACAAGAGGCTTTTGAGGGCTTTGTTTCTGCTGTGAAGCAGCCAATATGTGCATGCCTCAGAGTATGCTGTCCATACAAAATTGACTTGTTGCACCCTATTACAAAGGTAGATGAGGTGGACTCCCTATTGGGAGAGTCTTATGTGTTACAGTGTCAGGGAGCTTTTACCTGTCACTGTTCCCTGAAAGCTGGTGCCTTCTCCCCAGTTACTGCCTGCCGTGGACGTCGATTCAGTCTGCAAACTTTTTCCCCCCAGGGATGACCCTGAAAATGATAACAGTGAATTGCCCACTGCAAAAGAATATTTCAGAGACCTCTACCACCGTGTTGATGTCATCTTCTGTGATAAAACAATCCCCAATGACCCTGGATTTGTGGTTACATTATCCAACAGGATGAATTATTTTCAGGTATTCAGCAAATGCTCTCTCCCCTCCTTCACACTCCACATGAGAAAGACGTCCCCTACCCTGACACTCTGGACATGGAACCCAAGGTCTCCCATATGCTAGAAAAGTGCTCTCTCTACCACTTGAGCTGTACCACCAGCCCCTCTGTCAAAGAAACTGTCTAACAGTTTGAACAAGGAGGGCCAGAGTCCACAGTCACTAGGCATGGATGTGGCTGACACTGTCCCACAAGAGCTGAGCCCCTACTGTAATTTTACTTATGAGATGAGTTGTAGCTGGGCATGATGGCAATACACTGTATCCCCTGTACTCAGGAAATAGAGGCAGGAGGACTGAGGCCAGCCTGGGCTACATACACGTTGTGAGAAAGTGAAAATTGTTCAATAGGATCCCAACATAGAGAAATAATCGATACTTACGGAGATGGAAATGTCAATCTGATTCAGTCCATAGCGTATTGAGTGCATGCATTAAGCTGTCAGCACTGCACTCTACAGAATTGTGCAGTTAAAGATAGTGAAAATCCTTTTAGAAATTAGGCTGTTGTGCTGTACACTAAGGAATATGGATTTTTTTCCTGGTAGTTAGTAAATTTCTTGAATTTAAGCTCAGGCTGCTCCTGTCCTGTCTCTTTAGTAACTTTACCAAATGATTAATTGTGAGCTTTACGAGCATGTGTCAGTCTTTGCTGAAATGTGAGCCCTCGATTCTGTCTCCTGATTGTTTGCCGCCCCCCAGGTTGCAAAGACAGTTGCACAGAGGCTCAACACGGACCCCATGTTGCTGCAGTTTTTCAAGTCCCAAGGGTAAGCTGCACTCTGAACCTTGGAGATTGCTCTTTCTTTACTGCATGCTTTGCAGTTTATCAAAGCACACTCAGGTGTCATAGTTTTAATTTGAATGTGTTTTAATTTGAAGTAGAGAATTGTCGCCACTGTCATCTCAACCATGTTTCATAGAGGTGTCACAATCCACATTCTGACCTAAAGCCAGACTTTCTTAGTTCCACCCTTAGGGCATCTTTCCTCGGTCCAACTGGGTCAGGGGTTATGTGACCCAGCTTTGGTGTGTTGTGTCACCTTGCAGAGTGTTGGCATGTGACAGTGAGGGGAGAAAAGCATAAAGATTTCAGTTTAATGTGAGGCCAGTGGTTTGATTCTTATGCTTACTGGTGTGTGTTGGCCAGTACACAAATCATTTATTCACATGCTGTTTTCTTGTGTAGGTATAGGGATGGCCCAGGTAATCCTCTTAGACATAACTATGAAGGTACTTTAAGAGATCTTCTACAGTTCTTCAAGCCTAGACAACCTAAGAAACTTTACTATCAGCAGGTATGAGTCCAAATCACTGTAACTTGGTAATGAGAGAAGGCTTGGGTTCTCATGGGAGCTTGTCTAAAATCCGTCTCTTTTCTCACTAGCTTAAGATGAAAATCACAGACTTTGAGAACAGGCGAAGTTTTAAGTGCATATGGTTAAACAGCCAATTTAGGGAAGAGGTAAGTTTTTGTACAGAATGATTTTTTTCCCCCCAGAGCTTGCTCTAGACCTTGAGAACTAAATCACAAAGGAAGTTCCTTCCTAAATCCAGCTAGGAGTAGAGGTCCCTGGTTGTGTCCTGGCTGCTGCATCTAATGGATCTCCAGTTGTCCTTTCTTACCAAAGAAGGGGAGAGCAGAGCACAAAGCGTGTGCCTTACTCTTTGGTCTGGTGCAGGGTCATTTTCAAAGAGCCCCTGCCTTGGCCTGGCCTTGCTAAGTCTAGCTGGGCCAGTAATGGGCAGATGTGGGTGCCACTGTGTGGCAGCACACACCTGCTCCTAGCAGAAGGCCCATCCAGCTATGCTCCCTGGGGGTTCTTTGAGACAAAGTCCAGACCTAGAAACTCACCTGTGTGGGGTTGATGGGGCTAATCCCCAGTTGGCCTGGGGTCTTCTAGACCAGCGTTCTTTTCTCACTGAGAATTGGACATGCTCTGGGAGGACCCTTGGAGGGATGTTGCCTGGGAAGCTAGCTATTCTGGAAATGGCACACTTTCTGCATAAAGATGACATTCCCTAACCTCCCATCAATCCTGGCTTTGTCCCAGGTTTGGGCAGATGGTCCCACTGTGAGTGAATTCACACATGTTGACCATTGGGGTAGGAGTGTGAATGAGAACAGTGACAGCCAGCTGGAGAACTAAACAGCCATTGTAGTTTTTTCTCCTTACGTTTGTTATAGCAGAAGTCTGTGTTTTTGTTAAAACATGTATGTTACCGGTCTTTCCTTAGGAAATAACACTATACCCAGATAAGCATGGTTGTGTCCGGGACCTATTAGAAGAATGTAAAAAAGCTGTGGAGCTTGGTGAAAAAGCATCAGGGAAACTTAGGCAAGTATCTCCTGGAGTGGGGGACTGGCTTGGAGGAGTTCTGTCCAGCCTGAACTCTGCAGCTGCATGAATGGAAGTGAAGCCCCACCAGGACCGGTGTGCATTAATCGCCACGTCTTCCCACAGCTAGTGTTGTATTAGAGTCATTTTTCTTTTGCCTTTGATATTATTTAGGTGTAGTTAAAAGATGAGATTTAGGTAGCAAAGCCACACAGAGGCAGGATGTTTTCTGAATGAGCAGCGGAAACTGGAATGTGTGACTCAGTTGTATGTGAGATGTAGTTGCAAGTGTAGCCCCAGCCTCCCTCCGTTCACCCTGTGCTGGCTGTGGAGAGAGGCCTATATGTCATGACCAGTGTTGCCTGCGAGTTGGGCATTGTTCTTACCACCCTGCCTTAAATGGGCAAGCTTTTCCTTGATGTTAATAAAAGAACGAAACTGTTGTATAAAGAAAGAGGAAGTGAGCCAACCATCTGAGCCTGCTTCCTCCTTGGAGTTCCTCATGGGAAAGGTTGACACAATTCCAGGAGACTCCATTTAACCTACATCTCTGAGCCCAAGTGAGACCATTTTCATCAGTACTCACTGGGCATTTTTTCCTCAGAATGGGGTGGGAGGGGCGCATCTATCTTGTAAAAGAGATGTAGCATGTCTTGGTGGCACTCAAGACAAAATTTCTCACCAAATAAGGTTCCATTTGAAGGGCTGGGGACGTAGCTCAGCACTGCCGTGACACAACACCCTCTCTTCTGATGAGGGTCCATTTGTATGGCCAGTCTCTTGTTTCTTCACATGAATATGGGTATTTCACTACACCTTTGTTTTTTTTATCCTACTTTTAGGCTGCTAGAAATTGTAAGCTACAAAATTATTGGTGTGCATCAAGAAGATGAATTATTAGAGTGTTTATCTCCTGCAACAAGTCGAACGTTTCGAATAGAGGTAACTGTCCCTCATGGGCAGCAGAGAGAACTCGTGGACCCTCAGAGTGGAGTGGTGCAACCCTACTATTTATTGCTTGTGTGAACATTACACCAAGTTGTGGTGTGGATGCATCATGGTGCAATTAGCTTTCATTTATTTGTGTGCCACTGCTTGAAAATGCTCTTTGGCTCTAATTTTTTTCTCCCAGATTTTAAAAATGTTTTAGTATGAGAAAAAATATACATAACTTTAAAAGTTAAGATCTTAAATCATTTTAAAGTTTTAGTGTTTGTCATTGAGTAGGTTTGCCTTGTGCAGCTATCACCTAGCTTCATCCCTAGCTTTCTCATCTTCATGATCTAAAGCTCTCCTCACCCCTATTTCCTCCTCCCGTCTGCCTTCAGCCCTTGCACTTGACTGCTTACCATAGGGACCTCACTAGTGGGGACTGCTCACCTCAGGACCATAAACGAAAGGAAGAGGAAGAAACCAGGTTCTTCATAGTTCCACCTCCCAATAGCACCAAGTTGGAGAGACCAAGCCTTTAATGCGTGGGCCTTTGCGGGGCATTCTAGATGGAAAATATAGCAGTGATCTAATTTTGTTGGAGTAGCAAGCTAGAGCTTAAGTGTAGCCTTCTGTCTGCAGTAAGTTAAAAAGACCATACTGTCTTTTAACTATGTCCTCAGGAAATACCTCTGGACCAGGTGGACATAGATAAGGACAATGAGATGCTGATCACAGTGGCACATTTCCACAAAGAGGTGTTTGGAACGTTTGGAATTCCGTTTTTGCTGAGGATACACCAGGTGAGGAGGAGAGCGTGTCCAGTTTGTGTGACAGAACATGGTACTTTTGAGTAGCTGTCAGTAATCTGGGTTCTGCTTTGGTGGCTGCCACATAGTGTGGTGTGCAGCAGTGATAGGAGGGTGTCGCCTGAACATGTGTGTCCTCTGCCTTTCCAGGGCGAGCATTTCAGAGAAGTGATGAAGCGGATCCAGAGCCTGCTGGACATCCAGGAAAAGGAGTTTGAAAAGGTGTGTGCTCCTGGGTTCTTTGTCGGGCTTCAGTAACCCCTGTGTCTAGCCATGGGTGGTGGTGCTAAGCGTCTCTTCCAGAGACAAGAGCTTTTGCAGGTACACAGAAGTGAGGCAGGAGTTTAACTTTTTGTCTTGCAGTTTAAGTTTGCAATTGTAATGATGGGCCGACATCAGTACATTAATGAAGACGAGTATGAAGTGAATCTGAAAGACTTTGAGCCGCAGCCAGGTGAGCTATGGGCTGGGCTGGGAGGCCCTGTACCTGATAGCCTCTGAAGCAGAGGGAGAGCGGGCTGCAACCCTAGTGCCTCTTAGGATTAAAGCCTTTGTACGCACTAAGCCGGGTTGGGGACCCTGAGCTGCAGGTTCTCCCACAGCACTGCATTCCTGAAGCTACTGTGGGGTTCACATCTGCTGTGGGAGGAGGGTGCTGGGGGGCAGTTCCAGGCCAGCGAGTCAGTTGGAGGTCCTGCTTCCCTGTGAATACACCCCGGACATGGGAAAGCACTCGTCTGTGCATGTGTGGCCACTGGGGATCTGGGGGCTCACTGCATACTCTTCTCCCCCAGGTAACATGTCTCATCCCCGGCCTTGGCTAGGGCTTGACCACTTCAACAAAGCCCCAAAGAGGAGTCGCTACACTTACCTTGAAAAGGCCATCAAAATCCACAACTGACTTCCTCACCGGAGCGTTGACGGCGAGGGCAGCGCGTGCTGTGTGCCCCTTTTTAACAGCCGCAGAACTTTGCTACGCGTGCGCTCTAGCCCACGCCTCCAGCAAGACGATTTGCTGCTGATGTTAATTTTATTTTGTTGAGGCTGTTCAGTTTGGCTTCTCTGTATCTATTGACTGCCCTTTTTGAGCAAAATGAAGGTGTTTTTATAAAGCTTGGATGCCAATGAGAGTTATTTTATGGTAACTACATTGCAAGGCAACTCAGCACCATGGGGAGAAGAGGTTCCTAGGATGCGGGTCACAGGCACACGGTCTCTGGGCTGTGTCTGGTTGGCTCAGGTGGTCCGGCTGCCTGCTCGGGTCCCCACCAGCCCCGCAGCTAGCTAGGCTGATGTGTAGGCTCATCCAACTTACTCCTTCAGTTAAACCTTCAATGACCTTTGTGCATCTGTAAAGGCAAACAGAGAAACTCACAACCTAATAAATAGTGCTCTTTCCTTCATTGTGTGCACTGTTGCCCTTCCTCAGTTCCTCCCTCCAGAGCTGCCGGGTCTCCAGAGCCGCGGCTCACTCCATCAGCCACTGTCTGCAGCCCAGTTGCAAAGTGGATGCACTGAACACAGTCCTGACAGACATTCGGGTCTTTTTATTAAATTGAGAACATTGTTAAATACAATTAAGGTTTACTCTGCTGCCTCTTGGCAGACTTGATTTCCACAGTTCATCCAAGCAGGTGAAAGAATAATAAATAGGATTTCATGACCGTGGGACTCCGGAGCAACAAAGGACAGCCTTAGCAAGAGGGCATGCTCGCTCGTGGCTAGAAAGCTGTTGACTTTGTAAAAAAGGTAAAATAAAAAGAAAAAAAAAATGAAATTGTATATTTAATGAATGAACATGTACAATTTGCCGCAGGGAGGAGGTCACTTTTTGTTGGTAAGTCTGCAAGTAAGCTTCACCGATGTCGACACTCACCGTGCGTGGTTTCATTTGGGTTCCGCCTTGCTTCCTTTAAGTTGGAGCTGACGCCCACTGCGTGTCTAGTTTAAGTGCAGTCGAATAGAATCAGCGGATCACACTTATTTCCCCTCCTTTTCTGGTATTTTTTGTTTGTTCCGTAGCAGCAGTGTACACCAACTCTCCTGTATATTGCCTTTTTGCTGGAAGATGTTGTATGTTGAATAAAATTTTCTATAAAAATGACAATTCAGTGAGTGCCGTGGAAGTTCGGGAGGATTCTGCTGTCTCTGGGAATGGCTCAGGGAACCCTGGCACTTAACCAAGGACCAAGGCTCACTGAAGTGGATGCTTCCCGCTGATTTTGGGGTTTTCTGGGGCCCCAGATATCTTCTTTGGTCTGGTTTCTGGCTTTTAACTTGGCGTTTAAAAACTTGAAAGTTGTCAGGTGGGATTTTTGTAGTAATGGGACTAGAACGTTGTCATCGGAGGCTGTGAGGCCTGGCTTGGCTCCCCCTCGTCCTGCTTTGAGGATCAGTCCGTCCCATGGAGTGACTTCCTTCTCAGTTTCCACCATGAGTGCGCTTTCTGCTCCAGGCCGCCTTCTGTCAGTGGGATAAGCTGTAGTTCATGGGCCCTCGGCTCTTCCTGAGCCGCCACCTCCATGTGAACGCAGGTGGTTATGGGCACCCCGTGCTTTTACCTTTGAGCCCTGTCATGTTTTTGCGTTTTAGGTTTGGGCTGGGGTTGGCTATAGTCTTGCATAACTGCACCTTACCATTCTCCCTGAAATGACTGGGTTTTTTGTTTGTTTGTTTGTTCCAAAGAAGTGGTGGAGGTCCTGCATAGCAAAGAGGACTGCATTTGCTAGTCCATTCCTGTCTTGCTCCTGTGTCCAGGAACTTGAGGAGACAGGAGGAGGGCTTCTTAAATCTAAGAAAAACGTGAACTGCCTTTAGTGAGCGTGTCATGTCCTTCTTGATGTGTGAACATGTCTGCTGATGGCGAAGGGGGCCCATGGCTTTACACGGAATCAGGAGTGCACAGAGCTGTGTCTGCCGTTTGCATCTCTGATAGCTGGCTCTCCTTTGGCAGTGTAATGATGATGTTCCCGTGTCTATTTCCTGCCAGCTCATCTGGGATAGCAGTTGGCCTTTCAAGACCTTTAATCTGCCTCTTGAGGACGAGCGCATTCAAGCAGGTAGCGAGGCGTGTGTCCAGTAGCACCAGCGTTTCTGTTTCAGAACAAGTGTAATTACCACAATCAAAAGGAGTCTGCCAGTACTCCTGAGGCAGGAGGATTGTGAGCTTGAGGCCAGCCTGGGGTATATATGCAGACAAGACCCTGCCTCCAAAAACCACACACACAAAAATGTGGAGATGTGACTTCACTGCTAGGTGCTCCCTGCAGCTTGGGTCCCTGTAACTGAGCATGGAAAGCTCTTCCTGACTGTGACCCTGACTGGGGCTTTCCTCTCACAAGAGATGTCATGGGGCATTGGGAATGACACGTGATTCCTCCCTTCCCGGGCTGTCTGGGATGAAGTCCTGTATTTTACAGAGGTCACAGGTTTGAAACTCCCGACACCCTCGCAGAATGTGGTGAGTGTTAGCACCTAAGTTTTTTGCGTTACTAAAGTGAGGTGTGTAAAGATATTTGTTCTATGGCTTGGGTTTAGTGAGGCCAGGGTTGACAGACGTCCTGGAAAAGGCCAGAGAGTACTGTCACGCATCAGGGCACATGGCGGTCTGTTGCCACTGCTCAACTCTGACTTCCTAGCGGCAAGACAGCCATGGTGCATGGAGTGCTTGAGGCTGTGCTGGTAGCTGCGAGCACTATACAGATTTTCCAGCGTAGAGGGACGAGCTGTATTTTTATCTGAAACACATCCGGGGTGAAGAGAAATCCAGGGAGGGGGAAGGTGGATCACCGACCAAGGAGGCATGAAAGACCACTGAAGGTTTACTGAGTAGATGCGTGGTAAGGAATTTCAAGTATTTTTAGGGAAGGAAAACAAGTTGACTATTCCATGAAGACCTCCCCTCTGCCCACAATGATCAAGCTTCCTGCAGACACTTGTGGGATGTGAATTTTAAATGATGCAAATGCTCCCTTCCTCCAATTCCAGAACCTTCCACGCCTTTCACATATTGTCAGTTTAACAGTTGAGTGGTCCTGCCACCACAACCTTCTCCTGTGGCAGGACGCTGCTCTGTCCCTGTTCAGGCACAGGGGCCAGCTACGTGTGGCTAATGTCCACCATGGTGGACAGTTAGGTTCTAACCAGTTTCCTCACTGGGGCTGTGGTGATGGAGCTTGCTCGTGGGGTGGTTGAGGTGACATGTGGAAAACAAAGTACTTATAACCTTTCACCAAGGAAGCTCACAGTGGTGCTCATTTTCTGGGTGAGAACAAATTAAGACCAAGGAGCCCTCCCCTAGGTCTTGTACTTTGCCATTGGTGGCAATTGGGTATCTGCTCTTGAATTGCAGGTGAGTTGAGGCCTGGAAGCTAGAGCTCACAGACGATCTTGTGAAAACAAAACTGCAGCTTCCAGAGGTTGGATCCAGGCTTGCTGGTCAGTCCCTGACCCACACAGGCCATCAGCTGTCACTGGCTGGATCCTGTGGGGTGGGTATGCAAAAAGGGGACAGACTTGTGGAGCTTGACCACCCCTGAAGTCTACCCTGGAGCTCAGATCCAGAACCTGCCTGGCTTCCCAGGTCCATCTCCCACTGTCTGCCATTCAGGGTACAGTGTTAGTCCCTCCTGGCCGGCCACCAGAGCAGAGGGAAGCTGGGGGCATGCCAGATGCTGCTCGGGGCTGCTAGACACCCCTCCTCACGCTGGAGGTAAGAGCTGCAGGTTGGCCTCTGGGGTGGGTGTGGGGAGCCTGCAGACAGCTACTGATAGGGCCCAGCCCAGGACATGCCACCCCCTCCTGTCTGCTCCTGTGATAAGGTTGGGCGGGTGTGGTGGGGCCACCTCTAGGGTGGAGTGTTAGGGGACATTAGCCAAGAACCCTGTGTTGGCACCTTTTGCAGCCATCTCTAAGCTCAGTAACAGGCCGGCATGTGCTGTGGCCTTGAGTCTACAACAGGCACCTGTCAGCCCAGAGTAGGCCAGACCCGGACCGCATGGGGGCTTTGGCCTTACCAAGTGCATAGTGGGGGTCCACACCCCAATGCCTACTTCACCCTCCTGGTTCCCCAGATTCCTACTTCTCCCAGGCCTCCCTGGTTGGGAGGTAGGGGTTGGGAGCCCTCCCCATTTTAAATCAGTGTTCAAAGCGTGTCTGCTAGGTGCCAGCACTGTCTCCCACTGAGCCTGCAGTCTCTCCTGGCACCACCTCCCCCTGCCCATCCCTCAGGCTTCAGCTCTTAGGGAGGGGGACTGGGTCCAGCTTAGGGAACTGGGCTCAGGAGAAGGCTATGACCCCACCCTCCCCCAGCCTGGCTTTGCAGCAGGAGCTGCACAGGCGAGAATGATGGTTTAGGCTGCGGCGTGCGAGACAACGATGTGAGGCTCCCATCGCTCGTTCCCCTTTGCTGCGCTTTGTTTTCGAAGCTAGAAAACTGATTTTCAACGTGAACTCGCCCACATTTTTTGTGGGACTGGGGTTTGGACTCGGCTTCAGGCTCGCAAAGCAGATGCTTTATTTCTTGTGTCACACCCCAGTCCATTTGCTGTGCTTATTTTGGAGATGGGATCCCAGAAGTATTTTCTGGATTTGGCCTGGAACCTCAGTCCTCCTGATCTCAGCCTCCCAAGTAGCCAGGATTGCAAGTGAAAGCCACCGGCACCCAGTGAATTTCCCTCAAGAGACGGCAAGTGACACGGGGCAGTCTCAATTCCAAGAGCCTGGGATTGATCTGGGGGACCTAGAAAGGACGCTTGGCAGTCTCATCACTAATCTAGCCGCCCCTGGAAGGCAGGATGGTGACCGCTAAGGCAAGGAGAGCTGTTCTGAGACCGGAGGGCATGGCACACCAGTGATTTCATGGCATGCAGAGAATGGGGCTTGGGGTTTGTGTCTCTAAAGGATGCCATGGACATTGTCCATCCCAGACCTGAGGCGCTCATACCTGTGGGCCATCTAAGAATTCAAGTCAAAACCAGAAAACAGCCATGTGTGATGGCACATTCCTGTAATCCCGGCACTTGGAATGGGGAGGCAGGAGGATCCCATTCTGCCTGCAGCTTCCTGATGCTTTTTTTTCTTCCCTCTTGTTTTCTTTTCTCCTCCCTCCCACCCTCCCTCCCTCCTTCCTTCCCTTTATTATTTTTTTTTTGCACTACTGTGGCTTGAACCCAGGATTTCGCGCATGTTAGGCAAGCACTCTATCATTTGGGTTGCATCCTAGCACCCGCCCCCACTACCTCACTCTGAGACAGGGTTTCATTAACTTTGCCAGGGCTGACCTCCAATCAGAGATACTCCTGCTTTTGCCTCCAGAATAGCTGGAATGACAGGTGTGCATACCTGGCTCTCTTCCCCCTCTTTCTTCCCTCACTTCTCCCTCTCTATGAAGGGTGGCACAATCTTTTGTATATTTTGCAAAATTTTAAATCTGCTAGTCTAACACTGGATTTTCCTTTACCACACCTACTTCCTGTCCTAGCTCAGAGAGACCCCATTGTATCCAGGAGGTGCCATCCATCAGCCTGTGTGAGGTTGTTATCATCCACTTTCCCGTGGTAGCCTCTGCCTAGTAAGACTGTAGCTGGGAAGTGGGTGTAGGGATTGAACCTTGATGGGGAGACTCAAGGGAACTTGGGGAGTTCCCCCACCCCTATTCCTGCCAGTTCCTGGGGGTCCCAGGGTGAGTGAAGGGCTCATGACTACACCTGGAGAAGGTGACAGATGTCTGAAAGAGAGCTGAGGCTGCCTGGCAGGGCTGATGGAGAGTTTGGGGCGGCACCAGTGGAAGGGT